TTTACTAATTTAAAGTAAATATATATCTATATTTTTCTTACTTAAATTTATTATTGTAATTTATTTTACAACTTAAAAAACTAATAATTAATATCTAACAAATAATTTGATTTGTTAATGGAAATAATGAAATAAAATATTTATATTTAGAATTGAAATTCAATTTTACCTCATCCCACATCGAATGTCAATAGAAAATTAGAAGATGATCGCTCCTTTAAAAATGAACATCGTGATGGTCGAAGTCAATATGGATTTAATAATCAAATATCCGTTGGATTATCGGATCGGATCAGATAATTTTTCTTATCGGATCGGATATAGGCAGATCCGATTCATATCCGATCCATTTACAGTCCTACTTACAGGTCCCTCACATATGTGGGGCCGTGCTTATTATTATTATTTTTTTAAAACAATGATTGGGCCCAGCATTATGTCTTGCCTGTAAGGTACCTGTCAAGCAGGTCGCTGTACAAGCAGCATTTTTGCAAGAGTAATACTATCTCTCAGAGACATCATTAATTCAAAAGTTTTGATTCTAAAACAATAGTAGCATTCATCATTATATTATAAGCACGCTTTATCAATTATATACCATCATAAATAGTGTGTGTATATATATATATACTAGTGGAGATCGTGCGTTGCACGATTACCGTTATAATTTTAGAAATGATTTTTGTTAAAAGGACAAATTATTTCATAGATGTATAATAGAATGAAGGCAAACTTTAACAAGAAGTTTAGCTTTTTAGACCTTTCATCGATTGGGAAAATAAGGTGAATAATCTGGGATTTCAAGATTCCATCCCTGTTGAATTTTCAACTGAGATATCACATTCAACACCAGTTTCGCAATCAACAACATTCAGAATAGGCACCTTGGCAGTTGTGATTGGAAGAACACCAGTTGAGCCAAACTTAAACAATCAAGTGTAAGACACAATTAGTGAACTCAAAACCCTCAATTACTCCTTTGGAAAACCTCAATTCCAAACTTTCTTACATGCAGAGTATTATTCCATAGTTCATATTGGATTAATATTGAGTAGAAAGGAGTTCACATGTACTTTAGCTAGTAATACAAAATGATAAACCGACTCAACCACAATCCTATTATGGTTTGATAGTATTTCATGACAATAACAACAAAAATAAAAGGAAAAAATTGACGATTGCACTTTCCTTGCGGAAAAAAGGAGAGCATCACACACATCAAGCCACATAAATGCTCGATAAAATAGCAAATAATAAGCCGATCTGTAAATTTCTGTGGGTACAAGAACCAATCTCACCTTGGAAAAAAAAGCACGTCTGGGATGTTCGGTGCTTTATGAAAGCTATTCAGCGGCTTTCCATAAGAGTATCTATCATCGCAGTCCATTGTCATGTTATCCTATATGATGACTAACATTATAATCCACTCAAAGTAAACAAAACATAGCTGCCATCACCTCCTCTAATTGAAATTCAAAATAAAGGATTTAATTAAACTTTGTGTTAGATTCCCAATTAATGCCATTTTCCCGTTGAGAATTCCTTCCCATTTTGCCCTCATAAAGTAATTACAATTTTCCACAAATACCCTCATCCTTTTGAACCTAACAAACTATAGAAGGGCAATATTGGAAGGGAAAATTAAATTGTTGGAAAGTACCAATTTAATGCAAGCTGGTCAGGACAATTTCTGATGGAATTTGATAGATTTTGTACATGGGTCCCACGTTTTTGAAAAAGAAACTGTAGAAAAATGATTTTTTGTGGATGAAAACGGGTTTCAAACAGCCCCTAACTATTTTCCATCTTGTTTGTTAAACCTTCAGCGCAGGAAATAAACTCAAAGGTCAAAACATTGTATTTCATAAAGAATCAAGAGTAGAAGAAACTGGAAATTAACGCGAGGCGGAAAATTATAACATTAAGGGAAAAAAATGCCAGAACAGTTTTATAAACAATCAACAGTAAAAGCTCACTTTCTTAAAGTGGAAAAAATGGTACCTGGCAGATGGCCTTTAATTCACCAATAAGCTCTTGTGGAACTTTTGTATGTGAACCGTTGACCAGTATTGCCTTTGCCACCAATGCTCTTACCCCTAAAACTCAAAGGAGTTACAGGGGAAAAAAAAAACACTACTTAGGAAATCATCATTCTTGATTCTGAAAAAAATAATTTTCCATTTAGAGAGTTCTTGAAAACTATAAAGGTTCCAACCTCATACTTCTCATGGATTATTTTCGTAAAATTCCTTTTTTTAATAATTCAATTAAGTTTTTGTAACACGCATCCATCTCACAAAAAAAATAAAAATAAAAATTATCAACATTAAAATCCGAGAACAAAACCAACTCATATATTATGAGAAAAAAATCTAATGTTGTTCCCTTAAATATATTTGTGAATAGAACAGTCCATAAATTTCAATCAAAACAAAAAAAAAGAATAGGTAAGCATCTAAAGAGATCACCTTACTCACACTGTCACACAAACAACTAGCTTCACTTGATTACATTAGAACTTAGGTTTGTTCTTTTTCCTATTTTTTATTTCACTTAGACACCACTAAAATGCAGACAGAACTAAGAAAGATACTACTTTTTGACATTTATCTCTTTTTTTGAGATGGGGCTCAGAGAAATAAAGCACCAGAAAGGAAAACCCATACTCCCAAACCCTTTCTAAGAGTAATAAAAATGATGTTATTATGAAGACAAGAACGAAAGAATACATGAGAAGGATGGTGAGCACCATGTTAAAAGATTAACATGAAGGGGAACTTATTGAAGAAATGATGGAAAATCGGATGTAGGACAGACCTCCTTCACGCTGGAAACTCTCTTGTTTTTCATCACACATCTGCGAAACAAATATAGATTATCGGGAAAAAGGATTAATATAAGAGATCAGGATCTATGTTTCAGCTAGATTATCTCAACGATTGAAGGAGACACTCAACTGTAATCCCCACTCTCCATCAGTTTCATAGCATCTTCAGTCAGCTCATCAAACAGCAGTTTAGTTTCTGCTGACATCTTCTGCTTCTTGTTACCTGAGGTTCCTTTCAATCTCCTTAAAGCTTGCAAAACCTGTAAAAGCATAATCCGGCTTATGAGAGAAAATCAAAAAAGTTCTTACAAATGTTAAATTCAATTAAAACATAGTACTGGGAAAAATGCAGCAGTTCCAGATTAAAAAGAAGCTGAATTTCAACATAAATCAAACAGAAAACCCAGAATCTGAGTACATCATAAGAGGGGGAACAAAATATTAAAAAAATATATAAAAGAGAAAATCACACATACTTCAGCTCGGCAGCATCAAAAACTAAAGTATGCATTAATGGATTTTAAACATCAATCATAAGCAAACCCACAAGAAATCAAGTGGCTTATGATTATTCTAAAAAGAGTTCAATAGTTGATGAATCGGAAACGCTGGAACAATTCACAAAGAGCATGTTACACAAGCATATCCTGATAGACAATAACAAATTAAATACTTTGATGTGTTGTTCTAGTGGATCATGCCACATAAAAAAGGAGAAATTTGAACTCTGGCAAAGGCTGGAACACAGTTTTTGGAGGAAGACCAGATAATTTCTGGGAAAACGCAAGGGCAGTGAAAATTGCAAGCTTCTTTCTTTCATTTTCCTCAAAAAGTTCCAACGACTGCAGGAATCTTTGCATAACATTTTAAAGATTCTCTATAAGAAATGGCCTTCTACATAAGATCTTCTGTATACATATTACAGATGGTATGGTAAAATGACTTCACGTTTAGGCTCACAGTCAATTACAGAATAAGGATGGCCTTCTATGTAAGATACTAAGATCTTCTGTTACGGTATTTTTATTCAATGTAGTCTCATATACAAGCAAGCATCAACAATATTTATATCCACTGTGTGCAAAACCAGCTTCATTTCTGTCCATGGCAAGCTAACTTTGCGAGCATATATAGAATGAAAAATAGTACTCTTTTTGTTTTTGCTTATCATGTGGGAGGAAAAATAATAAATGCTAAATAACAAGGAAAAAGTATGCTAGTTATTCCAAGCTATCATATTATGAAACTGAACAAAACAAAAAAAATATGCTTACCTCAAAAAAAAAAGTATAGCCGTCTCTAGAGAAATTAAGGTCCGAAGACTCAAGGCTCCTAGCAACAAGTTCCTGCACATTTCCACAAGCTATCTCTTAGCACATCCTGCACCCACCCAACTGATAGTGGATGCATGCACCCAATTAAATGAGGGTCAAAGATGGGAGAAAAAAACACTTATGTAAAACAAAGTGACGAAAAATTACCAAATCACCAGCATTATCCAAATAAATCTGGACCACTGCATCCGAAAATGATGCAGGGTCCAGTGGTGCAACAATGTTCCGTTTGCGGGTCTTGATCCACGTACCACGGTTACTACAACCAAATTATTTCGGACAATATAACAGAAAAACAAAATCAAAAAATATGAAATCCAAGAAAAATCAAAATGAAATAGAAATATAAACTAATGTCCTAGGATAGAAATATTAAAATTTGTATTACGCAATTACCTTAACACAATTGACAATCCCATTAAAATTAACAAGAAACTTTAAACGAATCCAAAATCACAAATTAAATTTCAATTTATAAACATAAGAAAATTAATATCAAGGTCACGCGCTAGATTCTTTTACACAAAATTGCCGGTAATTATGGCTAAATACTTTCATATAATAGTTAACACATACCCGAGAGTAGGTTTCTCCTTCGAGCTGCAAGAAAACAAAAAATAAAGAATTAATATGCATTCTGGTCACGACAAATATCAAAATAAAATAAAAATATGTATTATTTCCAGTTCAGACCTCAATAATAGAATTATTTTCCACGAAAAAAAAAGAACATGATATTTAGTACAAATATGATGAAAGGTAGATCTACAGTAAGAAATCAAAACAATCAAAAAATTGCAAGAGTTCTATAAAACATGAATCAGCCATCTTAAAAAGAAAAAAAAAACAGATCTGAAAAAAATTCCCAAATTAATTTATAAACAGTAAAATGATCATTTAACAGAATAAAAATTGATGGATATGCAGTAGAACTTACCTCATAAATAAACCAAGATCGAGGTGAATAGGAGAGAAAGCAGAGTCTCGATAGACCCTGTGAGTTGATGCTACTCTAAGAGCAGTCACAATTGAGCATTTCAAATATAATCCAGGTGTGTGTATTCATGGAGTATATCACTATATCTTTATCTTCATTTTTCAAATTATAAACTGGAGAAGATTTATATTACATTCTCTTTCGAAAGCTGCTCATTCTCTTCCTCTAGTCTCACTGCCATTGACTCCAATTCCACTTGATAGGTCTAAAATCAAGCATATAAAATTTAGCCAGAAAACGGAAACTCCAATTCCACTTGACTCAATTTAAGTTTTCATACAGAAAAAAATTGTGAAAAATCTAGAGCTCATAATCCATTAATTTTCAATTACAATAATTTCTTAATACCAAACCAATAATCAAAAACCTAAATTTGAAAAATTGTACCCAAAAAAGGAAAAAAAATATTACTTCTATCAGAAATCCCAAATATTCTCAGCCGGACCATTAATTACATGACCATATGAACACAACTTCATGAGTCAGTGACAAAGAACATAAAGGAAAAACTTATCACCGAGAAAGGAAGAAAAATGTTAAAATATCACCTAAGCCATGGCTCGAATGGATGGAAAATCGGCATCCAGTTTTGCACGGACGAAAAATGGGCATATATAGTATTGAGGAGGCCGTCGTCGGTTGGGTTGTTGTTGGCAACGATGATGTGTAATGGGTGGTGAAAAACCATGAAGAAGCTTTCGAAAGCGGCAAAGGAGGTCCGATGAAAGGTACCGAGGGTTTCGGTCGATAGAGGGAGAAAATGAAAAGGGTCAGAGAGAGAAATGTCGAGAGAAATAAATTAAGAGAAGAAAGAGAAGAAAAATGGAGGAGTATGGGAGTTGGCGTGTAAAAATGGAGAGAGAAAGCTGAGAGAAGTAAAAAAGAAGGAGCCAGGACGTACGGAGAGAAAAATGGCAGGAAAAAATTGGCTGGGCTCGGCTTATATGACTCGACTCGAAAATGGCTCGACTGGACTGGCCAAATGGCTTAGGAACAGTGGCAAAAAACCTCCCTCTTTTATATATTGTAAGGATATATATTGATCCAAACAATAAGGAAAATCTGAGTCATACCCATGTTTAGCAAGTCACAAAGCATAAATCACAAATTTTATAGGTCACAAATCAAAAATTTTACATGTCACAATTTATTTATCGATCACAAATCACAAATTCTATAAGTCATAACTTATTTCACTGTCACAAATTATTTCTCGACTATAACTTAATAAATTTGTGAGTCACGATCACATTTTTAAATCAAATATTATGTATTAATCCAAATTAACCAATTTATTGGTTATAATCAACCAAAATAATGGGCCACAAACACTTCCTACCCCACCATATCTCACCCACAACCACCGCATCATCGCCACGACGACCACCACCGTCACATCAACACCATCACCACTACCACAATCACAACACCAACACCAACACCAACACCACCAATAACACATAAACAAAATTTCTCTTAAGCAGGTAGTGATAAGTGCGTTTTACATACTTATTTTACTGTCAAAATATGAGCAATTGTTGATTAATATGTTGGAATATAGTTTAATTCTATGCAATTCATATTTTGCAGGACATGTGATGAATGTATCGAAAATAAGGAGAAACAAGTGAAAAATGACCAGAACTGAAGAAAGTGAAAGTTCAGGGACTAAAGTGCAAATACTCAAAAATTATGTCGGGGCTCACGATGAAAGTTCGAGAGTGCTAAGGGTCGATTGGAAGCAATTAGAAGTCAAAAAGGAATGGAATATTTTCAGAATTTCCAATTCGCACAAGATATATTCCAGATTTTTAGCTGAACATTGAGACCCATTTTTCACATAGTAAAAGTCCGAATTAAAAAAGATCTATTTCTAACAAAGTTGCATCTCATCGAGTTATTTTTCTAACTCATTTTTAATTGTCTAAATCAGATATCGAAAGAGAAAGTTATAACCAAATTACTGACTGCTGTGCAGAGACAAAAAATCCGCGCGCGAAAGGAACTTTCCTTATTCGATTAGAACTCTTTTGGAAACCAAGTTGGACGTGATTTTCATCTAATTTTTTACTCTTACAAATACTTAACAACAGAATACATATGGAGAGGCCCCGAAACACCATTCTTCTCCTCTTTGGTTCAAGAAACTCATGGAGAACTAAAACTTTTGGTGAACCTACGAAGGAACTCGATTGGAATTGGTGATTTCATGTCTTTTATTCATTTAATTTGATCTTTTCATTATCAAACAATGCTAGAATTTAAATTTTCATTCTCTTGAATTTATATTGAAATCGGTTTAATATTTACAAGATTTTTCATGGATTCAGTCATACTTTTTCCATTGTTCAATCAAACTATTTATTGAGTTTCAATTTCAATTATTTATTGTTGAGATTGGTTTAACAATTATTATATCTTTCATAAATTCAGTCATGCTTCTTCTATCGTTAGATTGAACTAATTGTTGAATTTTAATCTCAATTTTACTTTATTGGCGGATTGATTACTGCCTTATACTTGATGTACATGGTCGATCTTTGATCTTATTCCAATAAAATTGTGAGAATATATCTTAAGTCTAAATTCTAGGATTACATTTGTAAATTAAATTGATTTTCAAAATATATCTTCCGATTAGAGTGTCGGGATGAAAGCCTCAATTATGTTATAAAAATCAATAATTGATATGATTGATCCAATCCAATTGAGGGAATTTCGACGCTTCACCGCTTCGAATTATTGATTTTAATTTTACGTTTCTATATTGAATTTTATTACATATTTGAGAGAACAGTTCGACCTTTTTGATGATTTAAATATTCTTCCATCTCCCTGTGGATATGACACCCCAAAGCTGTGTTACAACTACCGCGTTATTCTTTGGGTGTAATCAGGTAGCGTCAGGCAAACACCACCACCACAATCTGAAGCGATAACTACAGAGGAGACCAACACGATGTCTTCTAAAGGAAGCAAACCTTACAGAGGTCAAATCTCGATACCTTGCACGAGCAGTGCATCGACGATTTGAAAGTGCCGTTACATGTGGTGCTCAAATTAGCTTGATGTGCTTCTTTGCACAACATATTGAAGAGAGAGACGAAGCGACGGTGTGTGGCAAAGATAGAGAAGAAGCAGCGACATGCAGGAGACAAAGAGAGAGACAGGACACGACGAAGAGAGAGACGGACAGTGGCACACGGTGGTGGTCCATGTTCTATAGCGACACTTGGAAGTGGTCGTCGACGGCGACGGTCAACGTGTGGAGGGAGAGTGAAGAGAGATGAAAAAAAAATTAGTGTTTGAGAGGGTAGATGGTATTGGATAATTTAGTGCTTGTTTGTCTCCCATTTTAGGAGAAGAAATAGAGTTTTGAATAGTATTTTTTGGAGAATATATGATTGAAAAGTAAAGTAATTTTATTAGTTTGTGTGTATAATATTTTATTGAGTGAATATGTGGTAGAGATTATTTATTGTAATAAACAATGTTTGATAAAATGGATGACAAACAGGGGCTTAATTTTTATAATAATATTATTAATATATATAATAATATATTATCATCTAATTTTTGAATAAACAAACTATAAATCTTATTTTTGAAGTTGAATCATAAAAATTCTTATTGGGCGTAATTTCCAATTTTTGTACTTTTTTTTTGTTAAACCGTGCTTTGGACCACTTGTTGCTCCCTTTTTTTGGCGATTCTAGTGTCCGTACTTCGCCCGATTAATCTTAAGGAGTGGCGGCCTTCCCTGCTGATTTGCCACCCAAGTAAATATGGATGTTGTCGCAGCTTATATACACTTGGACCGGACATTCGGGAAGCGATTTTCCTCTCCGTGGACCTTCCTTTATGACGTGTGGATGTGACCTCTTGAGGGCAACCACATGACATCTGCCTTCCAACATAAATGTTGTATTCCATTGATGCGGGTATTCGAGCTTCTAATATTTTGTAGAGAACTCTCCTACTTTATTGCTATGCCACTCTCGCGGGCATTGTTATTAAACCCGAACCGGACCGATCAGTTCGATCCGGAACCCGTCGAACTGAACAATGGTCCGGTCCGAGCTTCACTTAACTTAGACTTTGCAGCTAACCCGTTTGAAACCCAAAGGACCCACTAGTTTAATGGGAAAACTGTTGGCCCAATTGTGAAGAAATCGCCCGATCCAAATGCACACAGTTAAAAGCCCAATCTCTATTCTTTCACTCACGTACGCGATGCCCTAGCAGGGCCTCTGCCTTTTCTGAGTTCTCTCCCAATTTCACTCCCAAGAATCTAAAGCTTCAATATACTGAGGATTACTCTTAAATCATTTTATCCAAAGAACTCGATTTGTTGTTTTCCAAAAGTGCCCTAATCTCCTGAAAGGAGTCATTAACAATAGCTAGCGGTGCCTATGAATGTAAAGATATATGTTAAGAACTATGAACTAAATATAATAGCAAAAGAAACAGGAAAAAGTTGGTATAACTTTTCTATCCATGAATAACAAAGAGAGATCCTATTTATATTGTCAAACATCCTATACTGATTGCACAATCATAACAGGTACAATCTATAAATAAGATTGTTGATTTCTAGTTTGATATTATATGTAAAAGAATTCTTCCAATAGCGAGGTAGATGACAGCATAATTTTTAAGAATAAAATGAATGACTTTATTCACATAATTCTTATTATAGGGAACAAGAAGAGCAAATGTATAGAGATTTGCATAATGATGATATTCAAGAAATCATCCCCCCTACTAGTTATGGGTAAAAGTAAAAGAAAAGGAGTGGGAGCTAAAGTTTTAAAAAAATAAAAAGGAATTGATTCGTACTTCATGCCAAGAACAGGACCTGGTAACCAACCTACTATTAAAAGTGTTCTTCAGAATAAAGAAGCTATAGAAAAATGTGATCTTACTATATCAAAATGGATGATTGATTCATGAATTCCTTTCAATGTTGTAAATTCTGTGTATTATCAGCAAAGTATAGATGTCATAGCTAGTATGGGTCCTGGCTATAAAGGTCCAAACTTTCATAGTATTTATGGTTATTTGTTGGCTAGAAATGTCAAGGAGGTAGAGAATTATGTTGATAGTTATCGTTCAACTTGGAAGACGACTAGTTGTACAATTATGGCAGATGGTTG